TATAATCTTCACAGGTAATGCCCTAATTAGTTCATTCTTTATAATTCATTTATATGTCTGGAAGACATGATTGTTCCAGCTCATTTTTTTGATATGCTAAATGATTCAGGGATTTTGCATTATATCTGTCACTTGTTAAATAGGAATAGCTACACTGAATTTCCCACCTATACATAGTTCTCTGTTTGATGTATTTTAAAACAACATAGAATGAATGCAATGCTGTGTGGATGAATTCTTCTCCACTATTTTTTCCATAACTTGAATGCCTTTTGCTAACTTGGCTGTAACTTGTACTTGAGACATTCATTGTGACTCTGGAAGGACAATGCAGGCAAGGTACATTTGATTGTACTTTACATCTTCAGAAGTGGGAGTATGATGCTTCTGGTTTATTTGTGCTACCCATAAATGGAAGGAAAACCTACAAGATCACCAAATATCAATGGCAGCTAGCAAGAGTTTCCCATAGAATTTTTTCAAATAATAATACATTTATAACAGGTTTTTCAGGTTTACTTGGATTTATTTATTGATTCCTGTATATTATGGGCTGACCCTTCAGATATTCCAGGCTCATCAATTTTGGATCTCCTCTGGACTGTGAAAGGCAGTCTTGCTAAATAAAATGTCATAAATCAAGGATGGATTTTAACCTATCTGGTTATAATTTATTGAGTGCTGTATGTTACCCTAAATGTGAATTAATTTATCATATGTAATTTAGGCTGGCGACTTATTGCAGAATTATAAGACTTCACAACTTGTTGGACAACTACTCATACTGGATTTTTAACTTATTAGACTATCTCTGCATTAAATACCTATGTGCTGCAAAAGGCAGTGCTCAGCATTTAGAATCATGCATTTTCTCATTTAGCAGATTTATAGAACATCCGTGTAAAGAAAGGGTAAACTTAAGAAAATGTAGTTGTTTTACAACATCATGGTTCCATAGAAATGTATTTGAAATTAATTTTCTAAGGTACCTATAGTATAAAGACACTTTGCCAAAATTACTACAGATGAAAATTGCAGGGCTGGTTTAAAATCTAATCAAAATTCTATTTCATTCTATGCAGTATTTCCATTAAATATGATTAATGTCCAGGAATAAAAAACTGGACTTGTTCTCTTTGTTATAGTAAACAAAATGTGTATACTTCTGATTTTTATTTTAAACACACTTATCCACTGGACTAATTGATATCTTGGAACATCTTTGTAACTTAGAACTACCCATGACTCTAAGGAACTGAAAGGCTAAAGGAAGAGAGCAAATCCCTTTAAAGCAATGACCTGATAGTTATTTTTACATCACTTTGTTAAACACGTGTTAAACACACTAAAAATAATGTATATATGCTGGTATTAAGTATCAGCTGAAAAAATGCTATACATAAAAAAACCCAACAATTTTCATCTACAAATTTCCTAGCCTCATGTTTTGTTCTTAGTAAAATCGGGAAGAGAAATACTACCGTTCTTTAAAAAAATTAATTAGTTAAAATATTGACCACCCTGAAATTTGACTTAGGAGTGTACAAACAATTGTTTTAATTGCCACCAAAGAAAAACAAAATTGACATGTCATCTGTAGGAAACGCTAGAAATTATTAATAGTAAGGCTGTACAAAGTACCTATGGGATACTCTATAGCAGTTAATATGAAGATCTCATAAATTATGGAGATAAGAGACACTGGCCCTGAAGATTAAAAAATCATTTGATAACATCAGAAAGAGCTTATCTAGCTCATCTTAGTTGTACTTAAAATGTATTTTATATGTATTACATTTATACTGATTGAAAACTCATCACTTCTTTTATGTTGCTGAGTGATTATTGTTGACTATGTTAGTCTCAGCCCATAGATTTAAAAGATAAACACATTGCTACAGTTTGCAGTATTGAACCAGTCACTGGTTCAATACTGCAAACTGCAATACTTGACTTGTCACTGAAGTTTTAGAATGTGTTGTAAATGACAAAGATTGCCATTGTAAGGTATTCACAGGAACTATTCAATATTAAAAGTAAACATAAGTGTGATTTGCTGTCTGTCAGCAGATATGCTGAGAGCAAAACAAATCTCTGAACTAGCCATGGTTATAAAGTAGAAAATAAAAACTATTTAAAAATTCTGTAAGAAATCATAAAATGACAATTAAACAGCATGATGCAGAATTGTAAACACAAGTGGCCAGTATCATCACATTCTATTTAGAAAGGCAGAAACAATCATTAAATTATGTAGTTGATGATTGTACTCATTTATCTGGGGTTTGCTGAGGCACCAGCCATATAGTTCAATATTGAAAGTTGGTTATTGTTTAGACCACATTGTAAAATCTATTGATTGTCCACATGCAGCATGATTAATTCTTTCAACTAATATTTGTGCACTTGATAATAGGATACTGCAGCTATGGATTGTAACAGACATTTAGGTCACAGACTTCATGGTTTCCATCTAGGAAAAGTAATAATAAAAAAGCTTTAATATTCTTCACATTTTATTATTTTAAGCCATCTAAACCAAGCATCAATTTTACTTAATTTTTTTTGTCTTTGCTCTTCTGGGCTGCTCCAGGATTTTATATGAAGGGTTGTCAAGTCTGTGATAACTAAATAGCTAGAATTGAGTTCAGTGGTCTCAGCACAGCCATCTAGTACCATTTTAAATATAAAATATTTATAAAGAGCCTACAGATATGACACAAAACCTGCAGAACACACATGCCCTTTTGGACAGGCAAATTAAAAAAAGTGGCATCTAACATTAGAAATGTTATCAAACTCTATTAGGTGACTAAATAAAGTTTCTTTAGTGTGACTGTTTGTTGTTTGCATTCCTTATTTCCCCCAATAAAAATGAGACGTATTGTAGTTAGATATTTAATAATTTAGGGCTGTAATTTAGTTTCCCATGCACCTGTGCCACCATGGGAGCTGGGTGTCCAAACTGCCTGTACAGCTGGTGGAGATCTCGTTCTTACTTCAGGTGCTTTAAAGTGGGCGTCATGATCAATTTAATTTGCCCTGTCTGATTTGTTGTGCCTCATTGTCTGCTCTAGAAGGAAATGGGTCTCCTGTAGCTCAGGGGTGAGGGGCTGGTGGAGGTGTTGGGAGCTGAAGAGGTACTCAGCTGGCACTTCTGCATGTTAACTCACAGGATGAACTCAAGAAGCTTTTCTGTGTTGAATAGGTCTCCATTGGTGGGAACACAGCTTCATGAAGGGTACTGACTTGAGGAGTATGACTTTTGAAACAAATGAATCTCTCTAATTTTTGACATTATCTCTTTGACATTATGATATTTGGCATCTAGGAATGATTATAATGAAATTCACTTAAGGAGAAGTTCACATATGTATGTGACATAGCAATAAAAAAAAACACCAAAAAACCACACAAGTGGGATGCACTTTCTGACTCTTTACTGTGAGCTGTCAACACTTTTTTCTTACTTGTGTGAATGCTAGAAGAATAGAAAAGAGAACAGCAAATACAATTTAGGAGTGGCGTGAAATACAGATAGCAGAGGAATGATTGTGATTTAGCAGCATGTCTCCCTTTTATATTGGAGAAAAGACAGACTAAATACAACCTGTGTGTGAGCTTTTCAACAAAGCATGCAATTTCAAACTCTGTGCAGTCAGCAAGAATCCTTTCACTAACCTGAACTGAACCTACTTTTATCATAATGTAAGGCACTTGTGTGTAGGCATTTTTTTAATTATATGATAGCCAGTCTTGTCTTTTTTACATCTATTCTGTTTTTTCTACTATGCCTTTCAGTCAGTGACTGACCAGCAGACTTCAGATTGCTTCAGAATTTGCTTGACATGGTTTCACACTATTTGATTCTGTATGTAATATCACTGTTTAGACAGTATTAAATGTACTTCATGCTTTTCCATACTTTATTTTTAGTCTTACTTAAAAATAAAAGTGAAAAAAGATGCATGAAAACTTGTACAACTTGAAGTAAAAGTTACTGAGTTGTAGCCATTCAGTGTATAAAATAGGTTAATATTTGTAATATGTCTTTCTGTGTTGCTATTCTCAACTCTAAGGTAAGTTTATTTTTGATTCATATATTTCTTCATTGCCTTCCCTAAAGTGCAACCTTCTCAGGCAGATCTAGGGAATTCCTCAATATAAATACTCTTTTTCTGTTTTGAAAACAGACGTTTTTTTCTTACCTGCAAATCATAGATCAAGTTAGAAGAGGATATTTTTCCAGTATACTTAAAGTGCTTTATTAGACACTACTCAGAGTATTTAAGGATTACCACCTAAAATGTGAAATGCAAGTTTGTCCAATCAGGCTTTATTCATTATGCATTTCTTGAGGCTTAGCAAGGGATTATCCATCAGTTCCTGAGGAAAGCAGTTCTTGATTGCCAGACCAAACATCATTGTTTGAAATTATGTTCTCATGTGTATTTGGAATATCTGCTTTCTCTGGAAGATACAAAATAAAAACTGATCTTTAAAAGTTAGGTTTTAATTGAATTGAAAAGTTGTTTATATTGTTTAATGTTACTTTTGCCCATCCATTTAGGATGGTAAGAGGAATGACTTGGAGTTACTGAGAGCATTCAGCTGTTTATTGCAATTTGCAGAATGAATTGTGAGATGAGAGAGCTTATGTGTTTATATACATGGACAGATACATGTACAATAAGACTTGGCTGTATTTTGTAGCTTACTAAATCAGTTTACAGTTATTTCCTGTTATTTTTTTTAAGTTGTGTTTAATGTAACCTGCAAAGAAAACATGGATTATTAATTGTGTTTTAACATTACTTGTAAGTTGCCTCCCTATATTGAAAAGACAGTTGTCATAGTTTGTGAGAAGTTTGTCTCCTCAAAAATTCTAACGCAAAAATTATTTTGGGATGTATGTATGTTGTCATAATGTTCTTACTCTAGTTTCTTTTTTTTAAACTTTAAAAATAATGATTATTGAGTGATTGATTGATTTATTGCAGAAACCTTTGAAATGCTCATCAGACTGGCTGAGAATTACACAAGCACATTTTTCTGCAATGTGTATAGAACCATGGCTGCTGAGGCTGCTGTGCCTGTGCAGGAGTTTTTCACAGATGTTGGGCTCTTCTTACTTGGCACAGATGTCAGCACAGAGGAATTTGTGAATAGATTTTTTGACACCCTGTTTCCAGTAGTCTACAACCATGTGATTAACCCTGGTCCGACTGACATTTCCCTGGAATATGCGGAGTGCCTCCGAGCGGCGAGAAGAGACATCAGGCCCTTCGGCGACATTCCCAAAAAGGCCATAGGACAAATGGGAAGATCACTCCTATCCAGCCGGACTTTCTTGCAGGCTCTGAATTTGGGGGTTGAAGTGATCAATACAACAGATCACCTGCACTTCTCCAGAGACTGCAGCAGAGCTTTGCTGAGAATGCAGTACTGCCCCCACTGCCAGGGGCTGACGCTGAGCAAGCCCTGCCTGGGCTACTGCCTCAACATCCTCCGGGGCTGCCTGGCTGGCCTGACAGAACTGGATCTTCACTGGCAGGGGTACATCCAGGCCCTGGAGGAGCTCTCAGGAGCCCTGAGCGGAGCACACAGCATCGAGCACGTGCTGCTGAACTTCCATTCCCTTGTCCGTGATGCTCTGGTACAGGCTCGGATCAATGGGCCGGAGTTATCTGAGCAGGTAAGGCACTGCTTTTATCCACACTTGGGGCGCGCATGAAGGTAGGAAAGCTGTCACTGATAGCTGTTATTTTTTGGCCATTTTTATGGTGAGGTACACATTTGTATCTGAGTTCAGCTTTATTTGACTAAGCAGTTTCTGGAAGCACAAAAGATACTTTTCATGAACATAAGAAAATTGTTTGATTGTTATCTTATGTGCACAATAGGATAAATGTAAACAACCCTTATTTTAGATACCAGTGGCCTGCCTTAAAGAACCTATGACTTTGCATATATTATTTCCATAATTTTGGAAATTGGTATGTTTCAGAGGAAGCAGCATAGTTAATTTGTAACATGAAATAAGTCCTGTCTTACACTTAAGAGAAAAAAAATTGTGTGAGAGCTCCGTTAGCTGTAAATGTGTGAAGAGAAGAATTTTAGGATACTGCTATGGAAAGTGCTCACTATTTAACTACTGGAGGGAAAAAGGCTAGTATATATGCTAATATATGAGGGTAGCTACCAAAATCAGAATTTTTCCTGTATTACATTTAATCCACAATTTTTCTCTGTATTCTTACATGCAGACTTCACTGACAGTGGCATATTCTGTATTAAGTACTGGATCGGATAGCTTGGTTTGGGGAGATGCCTTTAATTTTATAGTACACCCTAAAGAGGGTGTCTGGGTGTCACTGTGCTGTGACACCAGCTGAGGTGCAGGAGCACTTCTAGGACTGCCTCAAAATGTGATTAGTTGAAATTAAAGCAGTGTATTCTGCTCAGCAGCTGACATGACCTCTGACAATAAACAGCTTGGCCTAATATCATAAATAGAGGTTTCTTCATTTCTTACTAAGACCCAGAGTCTGATAAAATGGGTTCTTCATCCTGCTGTAATCCATGAATAGCAGGGTTCATTTCTACAAATCTCCCACTATATCTGCTTTATACCAGCCAGATTCATGAGCCATAATATCCTGCTGCTCAACTTCCTTGAAAAAAGCTGTCATTTTTTTGGAAAAGGGTTTTTCATTAACACTTTGACTCAAAAGTGGTTCACTGATATCTCTCTAATTCCCAAGTTATTTCAGATCTGCACATGCCTTTTAGGGAAATACCCTGTTGTTCCTTTGATTTCTGTGGGATCTTCTTGGCCTACCATTTTCAGGAACAAGCTAGAACAAGCAGGTAAAGGTTCAAGGGAAGGACTTGTGTTTCCTACTTCATCCTGGGTAATTTAATTTGAAAAGTTTTAGACTTGGATTTTCACCAGCAAATTGTCATTGGCCCAGACTTAAAAATCTCTCTGCACACTCATGTTTTCAAAATGAAAGTTTTTAGAGTCCAAAATAGTATATTTCACTGAATTTCAGTAAAAAATTAAATGGGTGAAGAGCCTTCCACTTAGTGTTTTTGCTTAATGAAAATTCCATATTGATCCAAAATAAAGTGCTTTATTTTGATGTTCCTGAAAACTCCATGCCTTCCTTCTCCCCATCCTTCATGCAATGTAAGGCATACTAAAATTTCTTATGTAATGATATTTGTTGCTGTCTGCTTGTCCAAAAACCATGTGTTTACTGACGCTACATTAAAATCATCTGATATAGAAGCATTTCCCATCTTCAAAACCCACATACTTAATTTTGACTCCATCTGCACCAGACCTAGACATCTCTTTCACCTAATTTCTCTGTTCTAATTGACCAGTCCTTTCTCTCTTTGATCGCTAGATTGGTCAAATAAGACTATAATGCAGTGGTCCCTTGAAACGTGGTGATCTAGTCAGTATATTTCATATTTTACCATTTATTAGGTATCAAGACTTAACTCTGACATGTAATAAATATAGTATTTTAGCTTTAAGAGGCAGAGGATGGGAATTTCATTGAAATTGACTCATTAATATTTATTTTATCTTCAGAGTGACTCATTAACTGTTTCAGGTTTTGATATGCAATTAATGCATCAGTGACTCTTAACAGACAAGGAAAAGATGAGCAAGGAAATAATGGTTTGCTTAGGCACGCAGCAGTCTCCACAGTTTTAAAAGAGAATTTCATTACTTTTTGTGAGTTTTAAAGAAGCGAATGGAGAAAAAAAAAATTTAAATGTTTAGAAGTATCATATATGGGAGTGTTAATGGGAGAATCTATAGAGTATCTTGCTTAATGATACATGTAGTTGTGCAGTCTTTTTATTCATTCATGGCTATGTTTGTGTAAATAACCATATGTGAAGGATTTTTTCTAACACTTTGCAGAAGTATTTTAATCTGATGTATATTCATGCTCCAAGCTCTATGTGGTGTGGAAAAAGCACTAATGCCTATATAGCATGGCTTCCTTTTACAAAACTTTTTTTCTCTAGTAATTTACAGCTTGTTCCATTTTCTGCTTGGGTCAGCAGAGCAATACCTACTCTGTGTCCATTGGGAATTTGTCTTTCCCTTTCTTGTTACTGTTTCAAAATTGCCTTTAATTCTTTCTCCCACAGCTCTGCTGACTGACAAATGAGTGCAGCGCCTGTTTATCATCTCAGTATCTGTGCATTATTTGATGCTGTTCTGCAGAATCTAGTGGAGATGTGTGGGCTGTGCAACTATTCATGTATTTCTGTATTTCCATCCCTACATATTGTCATATATTTAATGTCATTTCTGTTCCTGAAGTCTGTATATGTCCATATATTGCTCAGTACATAGTGTACCCTATGCTTTTTAGGTGGAACAGAAATTTTTTAGCAAATATCTGTGTCAATGCTTATGCAGCTATAGCATAATAGAGGTTTAAGAGAGCTGCATCATAGAAAATAAGAACAGTTGCATTATTAGAATAATCTGAAGAATAGGTTATGTAGTTCTTAGACTCTGGATAACAGCTGAAAGTGCCCATTGTTACAGAGCACCTTGCAGACTCATCCTGTGCTTCTTTTGTGCTTGGCTCAAGTTGGCACATTCTGGTCTCTGAACTTGTGTATAGCCAAAGAAATCCCTGTGGAGGGTCTCATGAATTCACAAAAGCTTTATGGCACATTTAAGTAAGCCTTACATACATGTGAAAAACCCCAAACAAAACCAAAATACCACAATAAACCAAAACCCAAGCAAACAAACAATCTATGGAATTTTTTTTACAAGTTATAGTGAATTGTTTCATGTCACCCCCCTTCTGTTATTGAAACCACTGTCAGTGTTAAGACAGAAGGACAAAGAGATATTTCAGCAAGATTTACAAAGTTTTGGTGTGGATGGAGCCTACTATCCCCAGCATAAGAGCATTTTCCCACTTCCTTTATGGATTAATGTTGCAGCCCCAGGCTATGGAAGAGCTGTGTCACTTCCAGTGTGATTCTACAGCAGTTCAAGCTGGTGTCACCCTGGATTGCCCAAATCCTGCTCTCTCTGGTACCATCCTCAGCTCTCTCTTCCCACCCTTTTGCCTTCTTGCCCGCTGCCCTGGCAGCTGAAAGTCCAGCTGGCTGAGGGAGTGTGTGTACTCTTAGCCAGAGATTCCTTTTGCTGTTTCAAGACTTGGGCTGCCACGCATTGGGTGACCCGCAAGGGAGAGGTCATTGGGATGGAACAGAGGACCTGAGAGGAGGGGAAATGGGTCTGAGGTCAGACAAAAAATTAAGGAAAAGGGGAAAGGAAGAAGAGAAAAGAGAAAGCTGAATTTCACAGGGTTTTATAATCAAATCTTCACTGCAAAATTTGCATATGAGTTTTGTTCTTGATTCCCAAAAGATCAATGGTGTCTGAGTTTAATATTGAATAAAAAGAGATGAAAAAGAATATTGATTAGTTGTTCATTGGCTATTCTGAGCACTGATGATTTTGGGATCTGAAGGAAAATGAAGTATGTGACCATGATACTAAAAGATACATATGCATATAAAAATGTGGGAATCAGAAACACACAAAAAAATCACAAAAATTCTGGTATTTCCTTATTTTGAAAGTGGGGAATTGGTGCTGCAGGTTTGGTAAAATTCTTGTTTCTATTTTTTATATGTAATATAAGCCTACAAAAATTCAGAATGTGATTTTCAAAAATGCTATGTCTTCACGGTATTCTGAGAAATTTCCAAACAGTTGGAGACAACAAAAGTATCAATATATCCAAATATTCTGGAAGCTGTCAAGTCCATTCTTCTCAGTCTGATCCTAAAAGACTAAGTTATTTGTCTTCTAAAAAATAGGCATAATTATATTTTATTAAGAGCGACTTTTGTCTTGTTTTTTTTAATTAGCTGTGTAATACTGGAAAGAAAGCAAGATCTTTCTTGGGGCATAGAATGCTAGCAGAAAGACAAATTTAACAGACTTTATTCTAAGCCTTATTTTTCTTCCTAGTTATTTTTGCTGGAATTGACTAGCTATAAACAGCCAGAAGTGCTATAATAAAGTGATATCTTCAAAGAGAGTAAGAAGGATGATATAGGAAAATACAGGTCAGTCAGCCTTACTTCCATCCCTGGAAAGGTGATGGAGTAACTAATCCTGGGAACTATATTCCAAACAGATGGAGAAAAAGTTGTTTGGGAGTAATGGTTAACCTACTTGCCATTCTTAATAGAATAGCTAGATTGATAGGATATGGGCAGGGCAATGGATGATGTCTACAAATTTACCAAAGCCTTTGAGACTGTCTCCTACAACATCCTTAAGTATAAATTGTCAAAATGCACAGTTTATACTGAAGGAAGACTGAAAAATGGATGGGTGGGCTGGGCCCAAAGGATTGTCCCACACAACTCTCTTTTTCACCTAACTTCCCCTTTAAGTTTTCCCTTCTCCTTACAGAGAAGCTTCCCCCTACTTCTTTCATTCAGCTTCATGTGCTTTTTGGTTGAGGTTATCTAATGGGGTAGTTAAATGTTTCATCTTTGTCCCATAGCCAGAATTAACTCTGTTCTACTCAGAGTTCTTTGATTAATTAAAAGGAAGGAGAAAGCTATACAGTAATTTTATTGCTGTTTTCAACTGAATAGCAGTTTGTATTCTGGATATTA